TTTTAAAACATAGCCCTGAGAAGAGCAAGACCACAGACTTCGAGTCCATGAATGGAAAGGGACAACTGTACTAATGCATACATATTGATATAAATCTAGATATAATTACTGTAATTAAAATAAGTATAGAATACATCTTTCCATGCTGTATATGCCTTTAAATAATTTGACCTGCACACTCGGCTGCCTAGGTATTGTTTATGGGAGGGGGGTTATGGGTAAGGGCTTGCAGGATCTGGGCAAGGCAGTGGAAGATAGGGATTCTTGGAGATGTCTCATCGACAGGGTTGCCATGAATCAGAACCAACTTGAGGGCAGCTAACAACAAGAAACATCAGTAATCTCCTTTATAAAGCTTTTACCTTTAACCTCAACATGGTCCTGAGAGCCCTTTAAACAGAAGGCACATTCATAAAGGGGACTTCTGTCCATAACATGTGACACATGACCACCCTAGACATCATATTTACTTTTTATATAAAAGTGGGAACACAGAATGGGAGAAAAGGAAACAGTGCATCTACACTATATAATTACGGTTCTGTACTCGTTTAACTATTATGTTTTTTTCTTCCCACCCCATCCTGGCGTTAGAAATACTCTGCCCTTTCTGTGTGTGAGAACAACAAATGCCCAGTTCCCTTTTCATGAGAACTACAAACCCTAGGCTATCTTGCAAACAAGCTGGTAAAATGTGGGCTAGACAAGGTAACTGTTACTCGGATTTGTAATTGGTTGACTGGCTGAACCCAAAGGGTGCTCAACAATGGCTCCTTTTCATTCTGGATAGAAGTGACCAGTGGGTTGCCACAGGGTTCTGTCCTGGGCCCAGTGCTATTCAACATCTTTATGGATGAAAGAATAGGGGGCATACTTGGATGAAAGATGAAAGAATAGGGGGCATACTAATAAAATTTGCAAATGACACCAAATTAGGAGGATTAGCTAATACCCCAGAAGACAGAATGAAAATTCAAAATGACCTTAATAGATTAGAAAGCTGGGCCAAAGCTAACAAAAAGCATTTCAACATGAAGAAATGTAAGGTACTGCACTTAGGACGGAAAAATGAAATGCACAGATATAAGATGGGGGACAGTTGGCTTAATGCAACTATGAGTGAAAGGGATTTAGGAGTCCTAGTAGACCACAAGTTGAACATGAGTCAACAATGTGACGCGGCAGCTAAAAAGGTCAATGTGATTTTAGGCTGCATCAATAGAAATATAGGGTCTAGATCAAAGGAAGCAATAGTGCCACTCGATTCTGCTTTGGTCAGGCCTCACCTGGAATACTGTCTCCAGTTCTGCAGGAATCTCCTTCTTTGGAGGTTTTTAAACAGAGGCTGGATGGCCATCTGTTGGAGATGCTTTGATTCTGAGTTCCTGCATGGCAAGGGGTTGGACTGGATGGCCCTTGGGATCTCTTCCAATTCTATGATTCTATGATCTTTCCAGGGAGTAAGGAATGACTGCCAAACAAATGTCTCTAATCCCTTGAGAAATGTGCAGGGATAGAGGCAACCACTTCACTTTGATCTGTTCCTTCCTTTCCCTGTGCCCTCTTTGTCTTTTTTGCCCTATTTGAATAGCTAAAAGGCACCATCCCAACAGAAATGGATCTTTTTTGTTAAACCAAATATCTAACATCTGGTGATGGTCATGTTTTCATTCAAGTTGTTTCTGACTAATGGGAGTTGTTGTTGTTGTTGTTTCCAGTTTACAGCAACCCTATCACTGGGGTTTCTTGGTAAGAATTCTTCAAAGAAAGTTTGTCATCATTGTCTTCCTCTGAGGCTGAGAGAGTATGACTTGCCCAAGGATACCCAGTGGCTTTCCATGGTTGAGGTGGGATTGAAAACCTGTCTCCCAGTGTCCTAATCAAAAATTTAAAGTATGATACCACAGTGGCCCTTCAGTCAACTTTTGGACGGAAAACAATGGAAGGGAGACAAGCAGAATGAAGTCTGGTGTAATCTGACGGTATGCAACTGTGGAGCCTGTGATATAGAAAAGATCTTTAGTCTCCTAGATGGCACTTAGTTCTTTCCAATATCATCAACTAAACTATCATTCTGAATCATTTCCATGGGATGGAATTCAGTAGTGTTAGACACAATTATGTTGTGTGCTTCCCACCTTCAGCTTATGTGCCAGCTGCATTGATTTTTAAAAGCAAAAAAAACTTGGCCATTGTTCACCCTGATTACAGTAAAGCACTGCATATCGGCTGCCTTTTAAATCAGTGGCAAATCTTGAACTCAGAAACAGAACTTGGAAATTGTATTTTTTTCCCCCGGCTGTTTCTGAATCTGACTGGCCATGCTGGCTGAAGCATTCTGGGGACTGCAGTCACCAAAAGTAATTGGCAGCCGTAGCTATAACTGACCACAAACTACATTTTTAAGAAGGTTTCTTTTCATTTGAATTCCTTGCCAGGATCTTAGAAATACATTGCCTCTGAACATCGAGGTTCCACTGAGGTCTCATGGCTAATAAATCATAGACAACCCTGCTTTCCATGCACATTACAATGCAGAACAACCTGTTCTTGTTCCATCTTTCCTATTACCACTGAATGAAGCCTACCTGTCACAGCTGTTTCTGAAAATATGCAGAAAAAGAACCCACTTCCCAACTTTTATATCATGTAAATACATTTATATATATATATATATATAATAAGGGCATTGGTGCTGATTTTTGAAGCGAATGTTGTATGAATGTGGAGAGAGGCAGAACATGACTCACAGTTCAGTTTAAAGAAAGAAGCACATATGTTTTGGAGTAGGCAACAACATTTGGATTGAAGGGAAAGAGAAAAGCAAAAGCAGCTAGATTTTAAAAAAAAAAAGATGTGAAGTGGACTGACTGCAGTTTGGATTTATTTCCAAACCATCTGTGAATTCTGGTGCGTTTTTCCCTTCCTCAAATGCCTTCACAGTTCTATTTTCAAGTAATTATTCAGAGTCTAGAATAACAATATATTCCTTTCATTCAGAGCTGCATCAGATTCTCTGCTTGATCCCAGAATCTCAGGAAATTTTAGAAACAAAAACCTAGTGCAGTCTATCATATTGCTTTGCAAACTGCATAGAAAACAGAGCAGCAGCCAATTATTTCTGCAGATAAAAAAGAACAAATATTTGGGGACAGTGTGTTGTGTGCAGATATAAGGAAACAAGTTATTTATTTGAACGTTATCTGCTTTCCCTTCCATTCTCTGTATTTTTAACTTACACATTTCATATTAATTCACTACTGGCCCAGAAGTGTCCCAGTGTCAAGGTACTAGGCTGTCAGCAATGCAGACTGAAGTCTTTTTTCTGGGGAGATGTGAGCAAATACAGCTGCAGGAGTGGGGCAACTTAAATGTGACCTAGAAAAGAAACAGATTGTTCTGAATCCCAAATTATGGGTCATTTGACTTGCATATTGTATAAAAATCAGTATTTGTACCTTATCCTTGAAGAGGACTCAGTCCAATCCCTGAAGCACCTCTACCATTTTTAAATAGAGATCTGCTACTGTGCAAGTAGCCAGCACCAGTGTGGTGCAGTGGTTTGATTGTCAGACTATAACTTTGGAGACCAGGGTTCAAATCCTGACTCAGCCATGTAAACCCACTGGATGGCCTTGGACAAATCACATTCCCTCAACCTGAGAAGATGGCAATGGCAAACCCCCTCTGAAGAAACTTGCCAAGGAAACCCCTGATAAGTTCTCCTTTGGGTTGCTGTAAGTCAGAAGCACTACAGAAAACTGTGCAAGAATAAGTGGATATGCAAAGTTCACACTGAGAGCAAAACTGAACATGGATTTTGCATTTAATATGCATTCTTTGGAAAAATGAAAACAGGGGAGCATGAAAGAAGGCTAATAAGTAAAAAGACGGCAGCAAGCATGGTATGGGAGTTTGCTCTTTTCTTTCTGCATTGCAGTGCTGACCATAATCTCCTATTTTAACCTAAAGGAGGCAGGGAACAGCATTCTCTCCATGCAAATTGTCCAGTTGCCCAACTTCAGCATAAGAGGTACAACCCCTGAGAAAGGAAAATAAGTTCCACTGTGCCTCTGCTACCCTCGCCACACCACTATCCACCACCCAAACACAGAATCATAGAACCAGAAGGGACTAAGAGCCATCAGTTCAAGGCAAGAAAGAATAAGTGAAAAGATTCCTGAGAAGTGGGTATCCAACCTCTGTAAAGACCTCCAAAGGAGGAGAGTCTAGTAACTGCCAAGGTAGTCCATTCCAATGAAAGAGATCTAGCCTAACTCCCTGCCATGCAGGAATACACAGTTACAGCACTCCTCAAGGGGACCCATCCATCCGCTGTTTAAAGTCCTCAAATGATGGAAGAGTCCACCACACTCCAAGGCAGTCTGTTCTACTGTTGAACAACTCTTACAGTAAAAAGGCTCTCCCTAAGGTTTACGTGGAATCCGTTTTCTTATAATTTGAATCCACAGGTTTGCATTCTAATATCTGAAAACAAGCTAGATCCATCTTCTACATGTCATCGTATCTGATAATTAAAGACAACTGTCATGTCACCTCTCTGTTTTCTCCTATATTTTTATTCTTATGAAATATAAATATATCCATTTAGGTGTATGTCCTTAATAGGACATACATGTAAGTAAATAGTTCAAATGCCCTTATCAAACTGTTAGCATACCCACCATACCCCGTACTGTATATGGGGCTTTCATATTTCCATTATCTGAAGCCTAGCATGTTTTTAAGAAGTCACAATGACCTTTGGAACAACAAGAGACTTTCCCATGGGAAGGACATGTGGACCTGATGACATGTGAAGAATGCAGTAATACCAATATAAAGATTAAATGGCTTTGCTGATGGCTCCATTCCCACTTTCTGTGGTCTCCTCTCCAGGACAGGTAAATATTACCTCCTCTAGTAACCAGTAATATTTATGATGCTGCTAGGTCATCACACAAAAACTCTCAGCAAAAAGATTCCACAGCACTCTAAATACTAATATTTGTAGTACAAGCAGCTTTTAACATGCTTTTTTTGTTCTTCCTCTGCCCATTCACGCTAATGACCGCCTTCTGTGCAGTATTTGCAAGGAGCTCTGGAAAACAGACCTCAGCTTAACTTTTTCTTGAAAGCTTCTCATAGAGTTAGAAGAGATTTCATGGGCCATTGAGACCAATACAGGATGTCCAGCTAAAGAGTCCCCACTAGGGAGCTGTCCAGCCTGTCTTTAAAGACATCCAGAGATGGCACTAGGCAATTGGTTCCATTGTTGAAGCACCATACTGTCACAAAGTTCCTT